TACCTTTGAACTTGTGTAACCATTGGAACTAGTGATGTGTTCGTCGTTTGCGGATATACGGTTATTTTTAAAAACGTTTCTAAATTTTTCAGAAAGAGTTCTAATCCTGATTGTGAATTTTCACATTTATTTAGAAAAACGAATGCAAAATTCAACTAAATACACAGTCGACAGCTCATAAAATTAATAAAATTTTCATTGCAAATTTTAATGTAATACGATTAATATTTTCAACTTAGTAATTTTATAAGTATTTACCTTCGCTAAGGCTGGGTTACCACCATCTTACTCTAACTTCTAAGTTTGTCTACAAACGTCCAAAATCTGTCAAACTCCATACAAAAAGCACCGGTTATCGTCATACTCGTAGTTACCGTTAAAGTTAGGTGGTGCAACAGCCTATGTTTTCTAAAATTGTCAAATCTGGGCAATTTTCTCGATAAATATGCGACGGCCTTTAAGTACCCTCGAATGTCGATAACTTTATCGACTCAATTCAAATACCTATTCTTACATACTGTCACACTCGTTACATCACTACCCCGAACGTGGGACGGACGTTTATTTAATAACGAGAAGAAACGAAAGAGATAACCGACGACGTGAGCGAGAAAGCGGATATGAATAGAAATTCATTGGACACGATATTCTGTTCGGTTGAATGCTTTTGAAAAGTTATTGAAGTGATTGTCATTTTTGTCTGACTGCGCAAATGAGGACGTTTGTGGGTAGATTCTATTATAAGACCTTTTTGAACCTTAACTTCGTACTCCTCGTTTGCTGGTCCAATGACAGTTTAACTTTTCCAACAACAAACTTGACCTTCGCAGGTTGGGTTATTGGCGGTCAAGCTGTAGATCCTGGCTACATAGGAGTTGCAGCGGTGGAAACTAGAGGTGGGAATAGTCCCGTTAAAAAACCTCTGACGTATATCTTTCGTTCGTAGTTGTCAGGACTACGGAACCCTAAAAAACTACCCAATTACACAAAAAACTCCAATTAAAATAGAGAACAAAGACATAAGTACAAATTAGACCGTACCGGATAAACCCATTAGAACCGGGCAAACGACGTGATTAGTATGCGATCCACGTTCCAGGATAGTTGTTTAGATCGGTGTATAAATCCGGGACTGGGGGCTTATTCTGGAAGCTATCGATACATTGATTCCATCGATTGTTATTTTTAAACTATAGCACCACCTAGATTTAACTTGACCTTCATCATCATCTCAGCCATAGGACTTCCACTGCTGAACATAGGCCTCCAATGCTTTCCATGTTGCCCGGTTGGTAGCGGCCTGCGTCCAGCGCCTTCCTGCTACTTTTATGATGTCGTCGGTCCACCTTGTGGATGGACGTCCCACGCTGCGTTTTCCGGTACGCGGCCTCCACTCCAGAACCTTGCTGCCCCATCGGCCGTCAGTTATGCGTACTATGTGCCCTGTCCATTGCCACTTCAGCTTGCTAATCCGTCGGGCTAACTTGACCTCCACTGGTTGGATTATTGGCGGTCAAGCTGTAGATCCTGGCTACACAGGAGTTGCAGCGGTGGGAACGAGAGATGGGAATAGTCCCTTAACTTTAACGGTGACTATAACTCTACGATGTTTTTGTATTAAGTTTGATAGATTTTGGAGTTTGTTAAAGATGGTACAACCCAGCCTGGGTCTAGCGCTTAACTGAGTGAGTGCCAGAGGTATTAGCGCGGCACGGGAGGGTGTTTTTGACTGTCAAACATCAGCGAGACTTCAGATCTCTTTCAGATTTGTATGCTCTATTATTATTATTTATTATTTATTTTCTCTATCACGTCATAATATGTCAATGTCACTCCTCCCGTGACGCTCCTATACATCAGGCACGAATTGAGTTAAGTGCTTACTTATAGCTGAACCAGCGAACTTTGTACTGCATAGTTCATAAGTAATGAAGGATTGGATGGTGAAATAATTTTTCAAATCAGTACAGTAGTTTTGGAGCCTATTCAATACAAACAAACAACCAAATATTTTCTCTTTATAACACTAATATTTCTTATTTATATTAAGGTACATAAAAAAATTACTAACCTGAGTTTGCTCGAGCAGTATTACTAAACACTATAAAACACTTCACAAACTTTCCTCGAGACGTCCGTTCACGGCGGAGGTTGGATAGCGACTGACTGTCCGGTGCTCGAATTGCTATAAAGTGAACGACTGAGTGAGTAACAGAACTTGAATGAGTGAGTGAATCGACGGAGCGAGTTGCCGGATCGGACGTCAGTCGATATCCAATAATTAAAGAGATTTTAATTAAATTATTATTGTTATTGAAATTATTTATTATTTTGTAAAATATTTTTTTCAGTTTTAGACAGACAGAAGAAGTTATAGACATACCTACCTACACGTACGTTTTACAGAATAGGACCTTTGTTTGTAGAAGTTACCTTTGTGCTAACGAATCTATAGTTCTGTTCAAAGTTGTAATCATATTTCCAGCTTACGTGATAGGTCACCTGAATAACCTGAATTTGTAGATTTATATTTATCACATACTATCTGCCCGTGACTTGCTCTGTAAAACGGGACTATTCCCACCTCTCGTTCCCACCGCTGCAACTCCTGTTCAGGATTTCAATAAGAGTCCCTTTTTACATAAGGATTAGTTTAATCTTCATATGTGCTGCGTTTACAATGGTAAAATGTAGAAAAATACGAGCTACGCGCTCGAGGATTCGATCAAAGGTAAAGATGGCCGGACGACGCGCTAGTGATGTCCTTTACTTCCTGTTTGGAGGCATTGGCGATAGTGACGTCCGGCGCGGGGTTAAAAAAGGTTGTAAGCGCACTGCGCGAACATCTTCCCGGGCGTTGAAAGCAGGTGCCGCTTTCAACTTGATTGCAGGGTTCCTGATGCAGACATCATTGGTTCAGCTGACGCTCAAGGTACAGACTACGATGATGTGATTGGAACTCCTTCCTTGGTTTCTTCTTGGATTGCAGGTATTATGCACATCATGTTTATGGCTCTCCTGATCGTGCCTTTGTTGGTGAGAACGTCTGCAACTCTGCTGATGCCATCAGGTCCAGGATAAAGACGACTGATCCGTGCCAATCGCCAGTGAAGTGGAGGTAAGTTTTCTTCCTTTAGAATTACGAGGTCTCCGACATGAAGGTCTTGCTGCCGCCTCTTCCATTTGGTTCTAAGTTGCAATTCCGCTATGAACTCCCGGCGCCATCGGTCCCAGAAGTGTTGTCGCAATTGCTCGATGCGCAGATATCGGGTTGGGTTCTTAGCGGTGATGGGTAGGCTCGGTATGCTTGTGAGAGGTCGCCCGATTAGGAAGTGCCCAGGAGTCAAAGGAGACGGGTCAGTAGGATCGGAGGACAGTGGAGTAAGGGGACGGGAATTCAGTATAGCCTCGATCTGTGTGAATAGCGTTGCTAACTCCTCAAACGTCAGAGAAGCATTGCCAGCAACGCGCTTAAGGTGGTGTTTAGCCGATTTGACTCCAGCCTCCCATATTCCCCCAAAATGAGGAGAATATGCGGGACTGAAGACAAATTTAATGCCTTCGTCATTGGCAAAATGGGATACAGACTTACGACTGGACCTTAGAAGTTTACCTAATTCATTGTTAGCGCCTTTAAAATGTCTGAGGACGAAGCTCAACCCTTGTCTTATGAGGAAAAGACTGAATTAAGTAAGTTAATTAAGCAACGGGGAATTATCAAGGGACTCTTATTGAAATCCTGAACACGCCCGCTCAGCAAAAATCGCGATATGTCACAAACGTCTTGCCGAGAAGCTGATTTTCAGCGGGAACCAATGCGTGATGAGGATTGCGCGCCCGAGAATCAATAAAAATACAATTTTACCGATTTCTAGAGTTGTTAACTGACTGACGATTTACATAAGCTGATAATTATATGGTTACAAAGGTCTCTTTGTCAATAAAATATAAGCTCTGTAGTTTATGCTGTGTAGCTATATTTGGGACGTGTATAAGCCCTAGAAAGGGCCTATGTACTGCATTAACTATTTGAATTTGAATATCCAATAGACGAAAAATTCTGCGTAACACGAAACGCTCAGAAAATATACCGAAGGTACCAAAGCCGCGCCTTATTACTCAACCTCTAGCGACTTTTTGAACATGAGTGTGCACCAATGTATTACCAAACTATAGTATCTTACCAAACTGTTGATGATGAAGATCTCCTCTTGCTTGCTCAGGTTCCTCATCTCATGGAAGATGAACAGGCTGAGCAGTTCAGGTGACAGCCACTGCTGGCCGCGACCGAAGACCGGGGGCTCAGCTAACGCTACTATCCTAGTGGGAGAACGGAACTGTTGTAAATTACACAGCTTACATTACGGTCACAGGTAAGGTCATTGTAATAAAATGATTCTAAAATTGCTCTAGCTTTTTTATTTATAGAAATTACGTTTAAAATCCATTGGGGATTTTACGATCACTAGATATGCTGAATTACCGATAGTTGACTTCGAAAATTAGTTCCATATCGATATTATCGAAAGTTAATTCGCCAGACGATTATTGCGCCTAAATACTATCGATACTATATCAATATCAAAATCAATGGTATGAAAAGTTATACTAATTTTGGAGGTTCAGGACCGTAACGGGACTATTTCCACCTCTCGTTCCCACCACTGCAACTCCTGTGTAGCCAGGATCTACAGCTTGACCGCCATAAAAACCCAACCAGTGAAGGTCAAGTTTATCCCGGGGGAAAGTTAAACTGTCATTGGACCCGCAACGAAATTATCAGGATCGTAACCGTGAAAGCGCGTTGGACGCGTTGCTTTAGATCAATCTTTCCCAAAGTGGGCGATAACGCCCCCTTGTGGGCGCTGCAGGCTTAAAGGGGGGCGGTAAGAGACCCAGAAAAAAAATCGGGACGTTGTGTAGAGGCTTGGGAGGCGTCATCTACTAGGAGGACTCTTAGACACCGACTGAGCTCGACTCTGTGGGTAATTCTATATTTTTATATTGCTCAATGTGAGGTAGGTGTAAACCACGAATGATAGAAATAAATCAGTCTTGTTCTAGCCAGCTTGTTTCACTAACGCGCCCCGTCCCTGACACTTTAACATGGCGCAGTCGGAGGTCGTAAAATACGAAAAGAACTTATGTTAGCATTAACATAATGCAATAAGTGAGAATTGATGAAGTTCATATGTGTTATAACAACATTTATTATCAACAAAGAAGCCTCAAGCAATAATTATGGAGTCAATTCTGCAACCACCGCAACCGTTTATTTTTGAAAATGATATAACGAACGTTACTTCTGGAAATCTGAGTAAGGATTGGGAAAAGTGGAAAAATGCCTTCAAGATTTATTTCGAAGCCTGTGAATTACAGAAAAAGGATAATAAGGTACAAATAAACATCTTATTGCATATCATAGGCGAAAAGTGTCGTGAGGTATATGAGCAATTCAAAGGCGACATTAAAACTATAGAGGATTTATTGAAGGAATTCGATCGATTTTTCTTACCCAGAAAAAACATTACGATTGAACGTCATGCATTCTTTACCCGGAATCAGCGAGAATTGGAATCGGTGGAACAATATGTTTTCGAATTGAACAAAATAGCGGCAAAATGTGAATTTGAACAACTGAAGAGTGAATTAGTACGAGATAGAATGATATGTGGAATAAGGGATGGAGCTTTACGTGAAAGATTATTAAGAGAAACGGAATTAACATTGTCAAAAGCGGTTGACATTTGTACTTTGGCTGAAATATCAAGACTACAGGCGAACAGCATAAAGACAGACACCCAGATGCATCATGTCGACGAAATAGTATCTGATCAGCGGCAAGATGAGACCTGTGTACACTTTGTTAGACGCGGCGGACCGCGTAACTCGCCAGCAGCTACGCATCGAACTTCAAAATGGCGGCAACCTGCGCGACGTCGCGATAGCGGCTCCGGTTCCGCGCAAACGCAAGTGTCAACGCACAATCAACAAACAGTGAGGCGGAAAAATGTGTTTTCAAATAATTATGAACAATCCACATCCAAAGGCAATAAAAACATAATGTGTAGAAAGTGTGGAATAAATCACAACAAATTCAACTGCCCAGCTTTTGGGCAACGCTGTATTGCTTGCAATAAAATGAATCATTACGCAAGAATGTGCCAAGTTTACGAGGTCCAGGAGGAGTCCAGTGATCAGGTAATTTATACAATAAATAACAATTCTAGTAATAATGACTGGTCAGTTGTACTATTGATAAAAAATACACCAATCAACTTTAAATTAGACACTGGAGCCGATGTTAACATCTTACCAAAAACTTACTTAAAAGATCTCAACATTTTAGACAGGGAATTAGCTAGGACAACCCTGAAATTACAAGGATATGCTGGTAGCAAAATTGAAGTACTAGGCAAATGTTTTCTTAAAGTTATTTATAAACAAAATGTATACATACTGAGATTCATTGTTGTTAATACTCAATCCCCACCAATATTGGGAAGGAGTTCTTGCGCAGAAATGAACCTAATTCAGCGGGTCATGGCAGTTAAACATATTACAAACACCAGTGTCAACATTTTAGATAAATTTCCAGATTTGTTTTCAGGCATAGGTTGTTTACCAGGCACTTATAAAATAGAATTAAAAGAGGACGCACAACCTGTAGTGCACGCTCCTAGGAAATTACCAGTAGCTTTGAAAGAGCAAGTTAGGAATAAATTATTATAAATGCAAAAGGACGGGATTATTCAAAAGGTTGAGGGTCCAACAGACTGGGTTAACAGTATGACAGTCGTAAAGAAACCCAATGGTGACCTCCGTATATGTTTAGATCCACGTGACCTAAACAAAGCAATTAAGAGAGAACATTTTAAGTTGCCTACTTTTGAGGAAATAGCAGCTAGCTTATCGGGTGCTAAGTACTTCAGCACATTGGACGCCAAACAAGGCTTTTGGCACGTTAAATTAGATGACAGCTCTACAGACCTATGTACGTTCAATACGATATTTGGTAGGTTTAAATTCTTGAGAATGCCCTACGGTATAAGTTCAGCTTCAGAAATCTTTCATAAGAGGCTATACGGACATTTTGATGACATAGAAGGAGTAATTCAATTTATTGATGATATTTTAATATACGCTAAAACTAAAGAAATTCACGATAAAATATTATATTCAGTCTTACAGAGGTGTAGAAAAATAAATATTAAATTAAACAAACAAAAATGTAAAATTGGATTAAATGAACTAACTTATCTTGGTCATAAAATCACAAAAAATGGCATCAAACCAGACGAGAAACATGTTTTAGCAATAAAAAACATGCCCAAGCCGAGTAATGTAAAAGATGTTGAACGATTTTTAGGCATTGTAACATATGTAAGTAACTTTATCCCAAACTTTTCTGAAAAAACTGCTCCTCTTAGGGAATTGTTAAAAAAAGATATAGCATGGCATTGGGATCACACACACGACTATTGCTTCAAATTAATCAAAGAACAGTTAACAAGTCCTCCAGTTTTAAAATATTACACATTACAGAAACCAGTTGTTATATCAGTGGACGCTAGTAAAAATGGGTTAGGTGCATGCTTAATGCAAGACAGCTTGCCTGTATGTTACGCCTCAAAGTCGCTTACTAAAACTGAACAAAACTATGCACAAATAGAGAAAGAGCTGTATGCGTGTGTATTTGCATGCGAAAGATTCTATATGTATATTTACGGCCGCCACGACGTAGTCATAGAAACAGATCACAAACCACTAGTAAACATTATAAACAAACCGTTAGCGAGCGCACCTCCGAGGCTACAAAGGATGCTAATGCGATTGCAACCCTATTCATTCACGCTAGTGTATAAACCAGGTAGGTACCTATACATAGCAGACGCGCTGTCTAGGGCAGTCGTACCCGGCAATTACAGCAACACGTCGCCGCGCGACCATCTCGATGCGCAGGCGCAAGTATGTGCAATATCGGCAGATAATCCGCTCACCGACTCGCACTTCATACAAATCCAAAAACACACGAAAGAAGATAGGGAACTACAAGAATTACTTAAAGTCATTAAACGTGGTTGGCCTACACATAAAAGTGAAGTAAGTGATATTGTAAAACCTTATTGGGATAGCAAACAAGATCTCACAATAAATTACGGCCTGGTGTGGAAAGGTAGCAGGATTGTTATACCTAAGTCTATGAGAAGTGCAATGATTAAAAGCATTCATGTGGGTCATTTAGGAATAGAAAAGTGCAACCTTAGAGCTAAAGAAATTATGTTTTGGCCGAACATGTCATCACAATTAAAAGATCATTTATCACGTTGTCAAGCTTGTTTAACTTATAAAAAACAAAACACAAAAGAACCACTTATATCGCATGAAGTACCTAACAGGGCGTGGTACAAAGTTGGAACGGATCTCTTTCACTTTGGCACGAAATGTTATTTAATAGTCATAGATTATTTCAGTAAATTTATAGAAATAGTAGAATTGCGTTCGACAACGTCAGTAGAAATTGTAAAACAGTTAAAACAAATATTTAGGCGTCAAGGAATACCGCAAATTGTCATGTCAGATAATGGTCCTGAATACTCATCAAAAACTTTTAGAGAATTTTCAATAAACTGGAATTTTAAACACATAACTTCCTCACCCAGATACCCTCAATCAAATGGGCAAGTAGAACGAGCGGTTCAAACTGTTAAAACAATGATGAGGAAGACGGCCTATGATAATTCAGATTTCAATTTAGCACTATTAGAGTACCTAAACACACCAATTAATAGCGACTTGCCCTCCCCCGCTGAATTGTTGTATAATAGGAAGTTACGCAGCATTATTCCTTGCACACCACGGCTTTTGTTACCTAAGGTATATAAAGATATATCAAATAAACTAAAAGAGCGTCAGGTATACCAAAAGAAATATTTTGACAGGGGTGCTAGAAACTTAAAACCTCTCAAAATAGCACAAAAAGTAAAAGCCAGAGTTAACAATCAGTGGATTTCTGGCACTGTGGAATGTGTTTTGGATAATAGGTCATATTTAATTAGACTAGAAACTAACAATGTAATTCGTAGAAATAGGAAACATATTATAATCGATTGCCAGGAGCGTGCACGTAATGAGTATAATCATAGCTATGATGATATAACTGTCAACTCCTCAGTTGCGTCCCAGCCGTGTCAGCGCAGGGAAGGCCAGCCCGCGCAGGCCCCAAGCCAAATAAACACAAACATAGGCTCCAGCGTTCAGTTAACATCTCTGTCACCGATATTCAGTGATAATAACAATAATCAATATATAACTCGTTTTGGCAGGATAGTGAGACCACCTGATCGCTTGGAATACTCTCATCCTGGAATTCCAATACCAAGGTAATGATGCAAGCATTTATGGTAGATATTCATTTAATCTCACTTGCAAAAATCTATTTATTATAACTGAAAAGTATTATTTTAGTGTTATTGAAATTTAATTATGTATAAATGCAATATTTTAAATAAAATATTACACTATTAAAAGTTAATTATGTAAATGTAATGTTTTGAATGGAATACTGAATTATTGAAATTAGTTATGTAAATGTAATATTTTAAAATGGAATATATTTAACAATGTACCTATTACAAAACATCACCAATATACACAATACAATCTGCTCACGATGAAATGTTTCAATTTATCTTATGTATCGGAATATATTCAAAAATGTACCTATCATAAAACATCACCTATGTTCACAATACAATCTGCTTACAATGAAATGTTTCAATTTATCTTATGTATCACAAAACCAAGACCTCTCCTAACTTTAAATAACTTATTATTTAAAGTTGCCTTAAGAGGCAACACAAATTAATGTGAAACGATAATAATGTAATGATAGTTAATAAGTTTAATAAATGAAAATTCCCAAAATGTGATAAAATTAACATAATAAATAAAATCTAGAAACAATACTATAAGTTAACATTCAAATAAATACGAGTTAATTACCGTTAACTAATTATTTGTAATTAATTTTGTTGTAATAAAATTGCATGATCTTAATTTAATCATTATTGTTTAATAATATGTAGTGATAATTGCATGTTTAATATTATAATTTGATGAATAAGCCAATTCTGTAATGTATTATTTATTTATTCGATTTAAAATCAAGGTGTACAATATATTTGTGATATTGTTAATGTGTAACTAGTTTGAAAGCAATAACCAGNGCAGCGTTCCAATAGCTCAACGTTGGAGATTTTCTCGGGCCAGTATATGCCGAGAATTCGGCGAAGGCAGCGGTTGATGAAGACCTGCAGCTGATGCGAGATAACCTTGGTGACCTTCCACGTTTCACACCCATAGAGCAGAACGGATTTAACGTTGGACCCGAATATTTTGATCTTGACCCTTCCGATCAATTTCCGTGACTGCCATATGGGGCGAAGTTGTGCGAAGGTAGCTCTGGCCTTGGCAATGCGCGAAGTGATGTCCTCTTCGGTACCTCCAGTTTCTGACACGACGCTCCCGAGGTAGGTGAAATTGTGGACTCGTGCCACACCCTCTGCACCAATCCGTAATGGCGTGCAATTTCTCACGCCAGATCGCATCTCTTGGGTCTTCCGGCAGTTAATTTTGAGCCCTGTGATACCCGCTTCTCGATGTAGGTCATCAAGTTTGGACTGCATATCGTGATGCGTGTGGCTCAGCAAACAGAGGTCATCGGCATAATCTAAGTCTTCTAAGACTCCTATTATACCCCACTCTATTCCACGCCGTTGGTCTTGATATGCGCGATTCATGACTCCATCCAAGACAACCAGAAAGAGAAGGGGCGAAAGCAGGCAGCCTTGCCGGACGCCCGCATGCACCTCGATGTCTTCGGAGATGAGGCCGTCGTGAGTCACCGTACAAGAATATTTAGTACAGTAGGTCGATGATTTTCGGCGGGACACCAATGTCAGCGAGTCGCGACCATATACTTGCCCACTTCAGCGTATCAAAGGCTTTTTCAAAGTCTACAAAGGTTAGGTAGACTTCCCTTTGCCATTCTGATGCCTGCTCCAAAATGATACGCAAAGTATTGATCTGGTCGGTGCACGAGCGGTTCGGGCGGAAGCCAGCCTGTTCCCTCCGCAAAAGAGGTTCAANGATTCGATCAAAGGTAAAGATGGCCGGACGACGCGCTAGTGATGTCCTTTACTTCCTGTTTGGAGGCATTGGCGATAGTGACGTCCGGCGCGGGGTTAAAAAAGGTTGTAAGCGCACTGCGCGAACAACTCCTGTGTAGCCAAGATCTACAGCTTGACAGCCAATACCCCACCAGTGAAGGTCAAGTTTGTCCCGGGGGAGAGTTAAACTGTCATTGGACCCGCAACGAAATTAATCAGAAGAACATAGGAGTTCGTAGTTGAGATTAGACTTCCCTCCAGTGCAAAGCGGATAACAGGAAACAAGTTAAGGTTTAAGTAACCTTTTAGAGATACATCAGGGAAAGTAAGCAACCTAAGGTAAAGTAAATTATTTTCAAACCCTTTAAAGTCACTTCAGAGTGAAACGTCCACAAGATGGACAGAATATACACTGAATGACTCACTCATCACGAAATCTCAGAAACTACAAGTGCTAGGAGTCTCAAATTTTGCATGGGGGTTCCTTTTAGAACGTAGGTGCTCACTAAGACGAGATTTTGCAAAATTCAACCCCTAAGGGTGTAAAACAGGATCCACGCGTACGAAGTCGCGGGCGGCCGCTAGTGACCTTATAAATATTTTTACCGAGGGAAAAAATATACCGCAAAGTAAGTTACGGTCCAAAATCCGACTGACATAAACGTCATAACGTTCTGACACAGGATATTATGGCCGCACCGGAAAAGATGGCGGACCGGAAGTTACGTCACTGAATTATCGGACTACCAGCTTTTCGCGTTACATTTTATTGTATTGTGCGAGGAAAGCTTTTAATAGATTTATTTGGATGTTGTTCAGTCGATAGTATGGTTATGTAACGAAAAATGTAGGTGGATTATAGGACTTCTTTTTTTATACCGCCTCTGTGGTTTGGCTGATGGTAAGAGCTAGTTTAGACCTAGGGTTCCCGGGCTCGATTCCCAGTGAGGGCAGAATTTTCTATAAGGTTTGGTTGGTGTTAGAG